CAATGAAGGGATGCAGACTGATGTCACATTCTCTGTGGACACAGCTGGTGGCGGCCTCTCTGTCTCCTCTGTCCTTTAGAACTTGAGTGGCGCTTCTCATTTTTCCCATGACGTGGGTTCCTACCAGCCCCAGACTCCGTGTTCACTTAGGGTTCTAGAAACATGGCCGAGGAAAGCTTACCCGATTTGGTCCTTTAGAGAGCCTGGATTTTATTCTTTTTTCTTTGTCTGTATTCTGGCATAGGACTGCCTCGTGTGTATCAGTTTATACTTGTGTTTATTGTATCATTGCATTTGGTAAGATTTTTTCTAACGAAAGGTCTCAGAGCTTAGCAAGGATTTGTGCGGCATTTCACCGGGAGTTGGGCTATCAGCATTTGAAACGATACTGGGTTTGTTTTCATATTTTAAGAGTGGATGAGCTCGGGTGCCTGGGTGGCTCAGTTGGTTAAGTGACTGCCTTCGGCTCAGGTCATGATCCCAGAGTCCCGGGATCGAGTCCCGCATCGGGCTCCCTGCTCGGCGGGGAGTCTGCTTCTCCCTCTGACCCTCCTCCCTCTCATGCTCTCTGTCTCTCATTCTCTCTCTCTCTCAAATAAATAAATAAAATCTTTAAAAAAGAAAAAAAGAGTGGATGAGCTCATGATATCTGAAACCTATTCCTTTCTATTCATTGACCTCAAGAGATGAGTGCTGACTATGCACCAGACATTTTGCTAAATGCTTCACTTCTGTTCATTCATCTTCACAGCTGTCTTAGGCGATTGTGACTGTTAGTACCGCCATTTTTCCGATGAAGAAACTGAGGCACCAGAGTCAGGAAGTAGTTTGTACAGGTCACACTGCTAGGAAGTGGGGGTGGGGGGTGCAGGATTCGGCTTTAGAGAGTCTGGCTGCAAAATCTCCCTGCAAACTTTACCCTGTCGGTCTCAGGCTTGCCCTGTACCTGGGCAGATACGTTTGTGTTTCGTGTGTAAACCATGAAGGGTTAGCTCCTCGAAGAAAAAATGGCTCCTGTGATTTGCATACATCAGGACATGATAGTTGCTTTAGACAATGCGCTAATATGTCCTTCCTCACTTAAATGTCCTCTGTGTGCAGGAAGGAGGCTTCAGAGTAGGAGTCCCAGCCCTGTCGGGGTGGCCTCCAGATGTGTTAAAAACCCGATGATTTCTTGCCATCGCTGCCACTCTCACTCTGGTCCAAGCCCCCGTGTATTTTGTCAGGATGGGTGCCATGGGCCCTGAAAAGCTCTCCCTGCCCACCCGAGCCTCCTCCTGTCTGTTCTCGGTCAGGGCAGCTCGCAATCCCATCACTTCTCCACTCAGAACCTTCCAAAGGCTGCCCGTGTCACTCAGAACAAAACACAAAGCCCTTCCGAGAGCCTGTGTCACCACCAAACCCGCCCCCCACCCCGTCCCAGCCCCTCCCCCTCCTCCTACCGTTGGCCTCCCTGCTGTCCCTTAGGCGCACTCTCCCTGGGCACAGCCCGTCTCAGGACCTTTGCACATAGCGGTCCCTCTCCCCGAAATGCTCCTCCTCCCCCAGATATTTATCGGACCCCTGAGAGAACCCCGAAGTTTCCCCACCCAGGGGCTCTCTCCCCTTCCGGCATTATTTTTCTCCTCAGTGCTTATAAAGACCTGATATGCGATACATTTTACTAATTTCTTAGTTCATTTTCCGTCTCTGAATACCAGAGTGAACATTTTATTATTTTTATTCGGCTTTGGTTCCTGTGGTATCACTGGCAGCGAGAAGCCTGTGGGCGTTCAATAAGTATTTGTTGACTAAATGAATGCATTGTGGAGTTGTTTCGGAGAATTAAATGAACTAACATATGGAAATAATTTCAAAAATTGCTTAGCATGAAATTAGTGTTTAAGAAATGTCAGGTATTCATAAAATAATAATATTATAGCTATTGAATGAATGATGAATTAAAAATTGGAGGCTATTACTTTATCATGCAGTGGAAAGAGGATAATCAAGTTATAAATGCTTTAAATATCCTAACCTGAATGTGCAGTAGAGGCTAGAGGAAGTGGTCCAGGACATCATTTGTGTTCTCTTTTCCTATTACCTGGAAGGAGAGCTAGACCTCACACTTCCCTGAGCAGGGAATGGTCCCCAGGCCTCGCTGCACTTTGGAATCACCTAGGGATCCTTTCAAAGTTGACCCTGCCTCACACCCCCAGATGTTCCAATGTGATTGGTCTGGAGGGAAACCTGGGCATTAGGACTTTTGAATCCTCCCCAGGTGATTCTGATGTGCAGCCAAGGTTGGGAACCAGTGCTGGAAGCTTTCCAGACTGGCAGTGGCATGGGGAAAAGCCTTCCCCAGTCCCTTCCTACACTCAGAATGGAAAGTTCGGCCAACCAGGGTTCAGTTCTCTGTCCTGCAACACAGGTGACCGTGAGCCGGTCACTTCACTTCTACAACCTGCTTCATTTAGAATATGTCTTCTGTGGATTATGGTGCAAATTAATAGCTCAGGGCCAGCCCCTAAAACTGTGGGTATCCCCTTCCCTTTTTTTCCGTTATTCTATCTGGGCATAACAGGAGAGCCCCATTGCCAAAGGTAGCTCAAGAACAGCATGCTCAGAGAGATGGATGCCTGGGTGGCTCAGTCAGTTAAGCGTCTGCCTTTGGCTCGGGTCATGGTCCCAGGGTCCTGGGATCAAGTCCCGCATCGGGCTCCTTGCTCAGCGGGGAGTCTGCTTCTCCCTCTGCCTGCTGCTCCCACCTCCCTTCATCCCGAGCATGTTGCCCACCCTGGTAGCCACGTCTAACCTCTGGGTCCAGACAAACATCTGCAACTTCACAGAAGACCACCCCTCCCTTTTGACCCTAAAACACGGCTGCTCTGAGCCTGCACACGTCTAGAATGGTGGTGGGATGTTGGGGATGGGACACCACCAGGGCCAGCTTCTTGGGTGTGTGACCCAGTCAGTCACTCAGGGAGGGCCCTGAGCTGGGTTTCACATTCTGCTATCTTGAAGTTATGAATTATGTTTGGGTGAGGGGTCCCGCATTTTGATTTTTCACTCCCGCATTTTGATTTTTCACTGTCGGTGCAAATTAGGTAGCTGGTCAAGCTAGGAGACCTGGTGTGAGTTGCACCTGGCTTACCTCTGAGAAGCGTGTGACCTTGACCCAGTTACTCTTCCACGTTTGGCGTTTGCAATGAGGCGGTCGTGGGGTCAAACTGCTGTTCCTGTGGGGTGTTCTGAAGATGAAATCGGGTAACAGATGAGTGTCAGCGTGTAGCGCATAACACGTTAGCTCTCAACTAATGCTTCTCTTTTTCCGAGCATTCCAGAATGCTAGCTGCTAAATCGAAGACGGTTCCTTTCTGATTAAAGGGGATTTTAAACTTTGATTTTCTTAGTCGGTGGTACAAGCCTAGAGGACAGATTCCGGAGAGTTTCCATTCATTCTTCTCAACTCTTATTAAGTACACAAAAGGACCACAGAATTCATCCTTCCCAGTCTTCTTTTTTTTTTCCATTTGAACAATATGTTGTCCACATGGCATATAGAATAGCGTCTTTCGAGGTATTTCAAAATGATCTTCTTTTCCTTATTGAACATTAGAGAGCAAAAACATTGAATGAAGTCCACGTCATTGAAATAACAGTGCCTTACATTCCTTAAAGGAGGTTTCTGGCGTTCAAACTAATAACTCTCCCCTCACAAAAGGCTACCCTGGCTACTGTATGTGAGCGAAGCCTTCATTATGAGTCCGGGGAGTTGGGTTTTGACCCGACGCTCTGGCATACAAGGCATGGGCCCCGAGGGCCAATAAGCCACTACTGACTTCAGCTTCCTTCCTGGGATAATGACAATAAGAACACCAGCCTGGCTCCATCATTCCCTGCTTGTGTTGTGCATCAAATGAGATATTTGCAGATGCATTTTGAAAATTTTTGAACCCCACATATATTTCAAGTTTAGATTATTTTTTTTTAAGATTTTATTTATCCATATGACAGAGAACATAAGTGGTGGGGAGGGGTAGAGGCAGAGGGAGAAGCAGGCTCCCCGCTGAGCAGGGAGCCCAATGCGGGGCTCATCCCAGGACCCCGGGATCATGACCTGAGCTGAAGGCAGACGCTTAACTGACTGAGCCACCCAGGCGCCCCTTGAGTTTAGATTATTGATAAAATTTCTGAAGTTAGGTGTGAACAAAGAGATTCATTTAAATCAGTTGAAAATCTCTCCAGAATATAAACGCCAGGAGTTCGTTTCTCATCTTTTTTGGAAAGGGGGAATGTGTTTGACACCAGGATAACCTACCACCACCAATATGATTCCCATCACTTCAATTTCTCGGGAGCCAGAAGCCATAGATCCTACTTACTGAATATCAGTAATCTTCTGAGGCTCTTTCTCGGCATATCGGTTATAAATTGATAGTGCTCAACCAAGAATTCTCTCTTTCTCTACTTATTTATTCACTTACTGATTGCAAATCCGCTGTGCGACAGGTACTGTTCTAGGCAGCTGGGAATCAGCGGATGAAACGAAGTCCCTTGCCCTCATGGAGCTTACATTCTGGTGTGGCGAGCAAAACAATAACAAGAAGTGTATTCTATAGGTCGTTATCAAGTGATTAGCGCTACAAGTAACAAAGTAGAGGAGGGTAAAGGGGATGTGGGTGTGGGGGAGCAGGCTTGCAGTGTATGTGGCCAGAGGGTCACACCTGAGCGGAGAGACTGGAGAGCAGGGAGGGGGAGCCACGCGCATAGCTGCGGGATCAGCATGCCAGCTTTGGGGAACAGCCAGTGCAAAGGCCTAGAGCAGAAGTGGGTCTGGTGTTTTCAAGGAATTCAGGAGGGCACGCAAGTAGCATGCCTGCGTGCCTTCCCACATCTTCCCCAAGCTCTCCCAAGCAGGGAATCGAAAGTTTGGAAACAAGAGGGAGAATGTGATTGCCAAGCCATTGCCAAATGCTTACACTAACGCCTCTTTTCCTTTGTGTGTGCTTTTCCCACAGTCACATGACACAGGGCATCCCATTCGACGACCCTCGGTTGGAGAGCTGCCAAATCCTCCCTCCAGCCCCTCGGAGGGTGGAGATGAGGAGGGACCCTGTGCTAGGGTTTGGTTTCGTGGCCGGCAGTGAAAAGCCAGTAGTCGTTCGCTCCGTAACACCAGGTAAGCATCCGGCCCCCTCCCGGTCTCCTGGGGTCACCCGCCACACCCTGCCCCAGCGACTGTCGCTTAGTCCCAGAAGTTTCATACGGCTCCGCATCAGGCCGTGGAGACTCGCTGAGTTTTTCCAACATCTGGATAGAGTCAGACCACCAGAGGGACACAAAGGGCTCTGCAAACTGGGTTTTAGCTGCCGAATGCATCATATCATTTGACTTAGGAAAACACTGATCTTTCATTTGTAACCATGGAAATGACCTACTTCTTAAAGTATGAATGTACATCAAAAGAGGCAGGCACTGCACTTTATTTCAGTAAGTTCACGATAAAACCCCTTAGTGAACAGCAGCAGAAAGGGGCACTGAAGTCACAGAAGGATTTTAGTTGTCCGAGCGCTTGGATTCTTTTTTTGAAGATGCACTCTTCTTTCCCCACTGGCCGCAGAATATAGTTGTCTACCCCGCTGACGTTGAGCTGGACCAGGTCACTGACTTTGGCCAGCGGCATATTAGCAGAGATGACACTCAGAGCCTCGACAAGTCTTTGTACAGTTGACCTTCTTTATTGGGTTTAAGTGACAAGAGAGTTTCCCTCAGGTGGCTGTTACTTTTTCAGCCTGAGCCCCCAAATAAACACAGGGTGCTACCAGCCTGCCATCTAGAGATAAATACAGCCTGCTCTGCCGTGGGAAGAGCCTAGCCTAGGTCAGCCGGTCTGTGCTCATCCGAAAGGCCCACAGGCCTGAGAAGAAGTGACCGTCAGCCTACTGAATTGGAGGGTAGTTCGTCATACAGTAATGGCTGACTGATCGACGATGGGGCAAATCCCTTAAATTCGACAGTATGAGCAGATGATTAATGTCCTCTGCCTCAGTCTTTCTCATTAGACTATACAGATGGTCGACCATCAACACGGTTGAACGTAATGCTCTAGGGTGCAATTGCCTGAAGTGCGCTGCCCTGGCCTTTCCAGAAACAAGGCTCTTTTAATGATTTCTTTCTTCATGATGTGTACTTATGAGCTTATTTTAATGGACTTGTATTGGATTTATTTTCGCACAAAAGGAACTTGCCTTCCATACTCTTCCTCCTCAGGATTTGGCAAGTCAGGAGCAGGGCTGAGAATAGTCCTGTGGTAAGGGGCACAGCCTCTGGCAGCTGACTGCCCAGGTTTGATGGCTTTGGACCTCACCTCTGCCCCCCTATTAGGCTGTGCTTATATCTTGGCCATCCCAGACAAAGAGAAGGCACCAGAGTGACGTAGTCTCTGCCCCCAGGTTTGGCGGTGAAGGAGCTGAAATGAAGCTGGTACACTGATTTGAACTGTATTAAAATTTTAAAAACTCAAAAAGATAAATAAATAAAAGAGCACCAGCTTTACCTGCTTCTCATTCCAGAAATATTTATTGTTATTATTACTAAACTCTAAAATAGCTGGGCTGCTGAGTCTGCCGGTTAAGGAGAATAAAAGGCATCCAGTGAGTAGTAAAGATTTCAAAAGTTGATTGCATTTTTCATTATTTTGACATCATATGGCCCGGGGTAAGCCCTGTGAACACAGTCAACCACCTTACAGACTCGCGCAGGGAAGAATCGGCTTCCTTTTCTCTCCCACCACTGACTCACCACACAACTTCTTCCTGTTTGCCCAGCTTTTTATTTTATTAGCTGTAGGTCCGACCTCAGTTCTCTGTGTGGGATTGTTGAGCTTGACACTACTGAGAATTGTATTCCTAAAATGAAAGAGATTTGTCGCCTGCTATGATAACAAAATAATACATATGCGTTGTAAAAAAACATACAACATAGATCGTACAGAGGAGAAAGCTAAAAAAAACACAGAATCGCCTGAGCTGCGACCACCCAGAGCGAACCATTATTAATGTGTACATAGAAGAGACAAGTCCATGCATGCGGGTGCATATGCTATGTGTCGTATGTATGAGCTATATAATGTATGATAGGTGTGTGTGCACACATCTTTTCCTGAGTGGGGTGACATTGAGCATGCCGCTTTCTGATAGAGGGACGCTATAACGTCTCTGGTTCTGAGATTCTCTTAAAGAGGAGTCCTTCCCAGAGCTGACGGGAGATCTGAGTGTTGTTGTAGATTTTCTTGTATTGCCTCATCGTTCCTTCAACCTCTTCCCTTCTTTGCCCTGGACTCTCCTTAGTCAGACAGTAACACCTAATCTTCGACGATTTTGAGAACAGGGGACAAATGTGAGACAGGTCAAAGAGTACCGTTTCCAGTCATTTTTAGGTGTGAAAATACTGATCCAATAAACGGTGTCTTTCATAAAAATGACTCTGCTGAGGTCTCAGATGGTTTCTGTGGCCTGACCAGATTTTCTGTACTAGACACCCCAGCCTTCAGAGTACGGGGCGCGAGACAATTCTCTGAAGAGTGCCTCGGCTTCGTATTTTGGAAAGAACTATGTCTTGCTTCCTTCTGAAATTCTGGGTTTAAGTTGCTTGATTAAACAAGAATATTTCCATTTGGTCAAAAAGCATGGGTCAGATGTAAAAGTATGGCCTATTAATCTGCAAGTGGTTTTCCCAAGAAAGTAGTTAACATCCATCAGCCAATTCGTGCAAACGTTTTTCAGTATTTGATCAGCATCTGATTTCTAACCATTTGTTGGACTGAATTTGAGTGAGTGTTTGCAGATAATCCAATGGTTATATAAACTCTCTGAAGTGATTTTCAGAATTTCTTATGTGTGCAAACACTGTATCTCAGTTCCCACATCTTGAAATGAATATTTTTTTATCACTGATATGAAGAAATATTAAGGTTTTCCCTACTTTTTTACTACCCAGAAAGAAGATTCCTTTATGCTCCAGCTTCAGTGACACACATGCCAAGTGTCTGGGTGGGAGGGTGGGTGGGTGGGAAGCATCTGAATTACTTCGAGATCTCATCCTGGCTGTGAAGTGTTCATTTCAATTACTAAATAAAGTAATCGCAATAATATTTGAAAGATCATGTTTCAGCTGCACCTATGACCCAGTGACAGACCTGGAAATAAAATGAAAATTATCGTACCCTAATCAGTATTTGGGAGGTAATTACATTAGACATGGAGATGGTTGAAATATTTACTTACAGGTTTAATTTAATGCCGATGTATGCTTCATGCAGTTGTGGCTTTAAGTTTATGTGTTGGGAGACCTGGCAGTGACCGGTTTTTAAATTATAGGAGCAAGTTCAAAAGAGATGCCGGTCACCCTGAACTTGGCAGAGTCCACAGACCTATGCTGCGACCCGGTTCTACCCTTTAATTCAATTCTTGGACCTGTGTGAGCCTGGGGGATCTCATTATATGGAAGGGGTTTTAAGGGTCAGTGGGATTCTAGGCAAGGCAGCTAGCCCCTTGCCTGGTACATAATAAATGCTCAACAAATATTAGCTCCTTACCTCCTTGCAAAAACCAATGGAAAAGACTATGGTGGACTGAGACAAACACAAGAGTCCTCTGTCATCTCGTGTGAGCACGGGCACACACACCCAGGCTTGGTCCCTGCCACAGTCCCAGCCACAGAAATGACCAAACAGCCTCATCCCCCAGCTGATATGACTGTCTGTTGCTTCCTGAACAATCCCAGCTTTCGCTCTCCTTCCTTGCCCCCACCTTTTAGACAAGAATGAGGAAGATGCCCCCACATCTTGACCCCTCCCCGGAAGCACATAACATAGGCCCCATCGTGTCAGTCCTTCCTCTGATGTGCTTGCTGCCTCACGGTTCCCCATAGTATGTGGCCTCCCTAGTTATGCCAAGTAAATGCAACTTTGTTCAAATACAGGTGTGCCCAGGTGATGGCAGCTTTGGCTGCAGGCCGTCTACACAGCTGGTTGGCCATCCCTTTGGGGCAATACCCTTCTTTTGGGGGCTTCCATACTCAAAGTATATTCAGTTGACCAGCAGCGTACGGAGCCCCTGGGAGCTGGTGAGAAGTGCGTTACCTCACCCGTTGCTCCTCCAAATCTACTGAATCGGTCTACAGGGTAACAAGGCCCCCAGGGTTGCGTGTGTCCATTAAAGTGTGAGCTCTCCTAGGCTGCTGTGTCTCAAGCCTGCCGGGGAAGTTCTAGAGAAATGCCGATGCCTGATTCCCACCTCCAAAGATTCTGATTTAATTGGCCAGGGTGTAGCCTGGGCCTCTGGAGTTTATCCAGAGCTCCCCAGTTCGTTCTTTCTCTCTCTCTCTCTCTCTTTTTTTTTTTATTAAGCTCTACTTTCAACATGGGGCTTGAACTCATGACCCCAAGATCAAGATTCCTGTGCTCTACCGACCAAACCGGCCAGGCACCCCTCCCCAAGTCTTTCTAATGTGCCAGCAAGGTGGGGGTTTTGGCAGACAGCGCCAGGTGCTTACAATGAATGGTGATGGGGCGAGGAGGACACGGATGGATTGGCCATGGTCTTCTCACCTGCGCTTCGCTCTCCTTTGTCTCCAGGTGGCCCCTCCGAAGGCAAGCTGATCCCGGGAGATCAGATCGTAATGATTAACGATGAGCCAGTCAGCGCTGCGCCAAGGGAGCGGGTCATCGACCTGGTCAGGTGCGTGACTCACTCCCCTGGGCCCCATTCTGCTGCGAGGGCTGATACACAGGTTGCAGACCTCGTCCCATGAAGGAAGGGCTTCCTGTGAGCCAGTGTAGGGCAGTAACACGAGCCCACGCATTCACCTCGACGGTGCCGGCAACACCGACCTCTGACGTAAAAACGCGTGCCCCCTAAGCACGAAACACCCAGTCGCCCATTCTGTGTTAACAGCCAAGGTGCATATGCTTCGGCTGGAACGCTCTTTGGCTCCTACTTCCATTGCTATATCCAAAGGTTGCATTGTTTTCCCCTTCCAGAATTACTGACACATTGATATTGCCTAATCGAGGAGATCAAAATGCAATACCTGAATTCTGTACAAGCGATGAGTAATTTTATATAATCCCATGGATATGCAAACAGAGAGTTCACTGATTTTTCATGCTTGACTGAGTGATTCATTACTGACTTGTGAAAGCATCAACCAAAGCAAAAGGATAATTAGGTCAAAGCTATGACAGTTTAAAAATGTGCTTTTGGTTTATTGGCTTAGCTTGATCGTAGATGTAAATAATTTGTTGTGTGAGATTCTTAGTGGAGCACCAGAAAATCTGTTTTATGTGATGTTAAAGTATTATTCAGGAGATTGTTGAAGCTCACTGGAGTTCCTCTCCCACAGTGTACTTAGGGCAAAAAGGGGTCGTTAGAAGTTGGAAATGAAGCTGTGTCTATTGTATGAGCAGATCCACTTGTGCTCCGGGGATGTTAAGGGATAATGAGTGTGTGACACTTGTCTTTTATAAAGTGATTTTTTTTTTTTTCAAGCAAGACTGAAGCAGAAGCTAAAGCTATCAGAACATTTTAAACTGAGAAGGGGATCTTCTAACATTTATGTTCTTTCATTACAAAAAGTACATCTGCACTTTGAAAAGGCATTAAGTGGAGCGTTTCAGGGGTTTTCCAGAGAAAGTTTCTTTCCCAAGCTTTGTTCAGCTTCTGCTTCACAAAGAAACACTGGAGGGTCCTGCTTCCTTGGAAGGACTGGGAGAGGGGTAAGAAGACAGAGAAATAGAAATAGAGGAGGCTCACTTTTAGGGTGAGCAACATTTCCAGTTTGAGCCCAGCAAGGCCCACATCCTGGGAAACCTCTCAGTTCCAGAAGGGTTGGCCACTTTTCAGTGTAGGCCCAATAGCATGGAGCCTTTGCAAATGGCTGGCCAAGTCCCCATGGGGCGTCCACATCTCCCAAGGGTTCTTCCTCGTGAGCGGGCACTGAGGTTCGTGTCAGACTCACCCTGCATCAGGAGTGAGACCTGGTGACACCTCCCATTTTCCTGGGGGCCAGGAATGCAAGAATCAGGGGTGACTCTGTATTGTCAAGCCCCGGGGAGGGAGCTGCAACGTTACCATTTCGAGCCACTTCTCTCTTGAGATGCTTGTGGTTGTCAGCAGGGACGGACGTCATCCAGGCAGGCTCTAAGCCTTATGTAGGCCTGCGTCCTGGAGTGCCTTGTTCAGGCCTGATGGCAGGCCACACGCTTCTTTTTTTCTCCCCTGGGCACACCCCCTCTGCAATCAGTTCTGTCGATCTGTGTCCCCGGAAGATGGTAGAAGAACGAAGATATCTGTGTTTGGGTGTGCTGGGTCTGAAAGTGCCATCATTTCCCAGCAACCCTACTGGGGCATCTTGAGAGAGCTTTTCCAGAAAATCTTTTCCTTCTGCATTTAATGCATTTGGAAGAAAATGACCTCACCTTGAACAAAGTCTCTGGAGAACATTCTGTGTAACAGGGTGCAGCAAAGATGAGTTGACTAAATGAGCGACAGCTCGCAGTCCACATCCAGCCTTCCGCCTGCTTCTGCACAGCCCATGAGCTAAGAATGGTCTGTGCCATTTTTAAATGGCTGGGGGAAAAAATAAAAGAAGAATATTTTGTGACACATGCAATCCATGTGAAATTCAGGGTCCAGAGTCCATAAATACCGTGCCAGTGGTCACACGCAGCCATTTCTGTGTCGTCTCAGAGTGTTTTCTCCCTCCAGTAGCAGAGCTGACTACTTGTGACTGACACCCATCTGGCCCTTGAGAGGAGAAGTTTGTCAACCCCTCTTGTAGGAGTAATGGCATTTTAGTTGGTGATTGCTGCAACATGCCCGCATTCTTGATCAAGAGGTTGTGGCATTTGACATGGAAAGCGTGTGTGCTTTTTAAACATCATGAAATCCTTCGGGTGCATAAAACTCCCGTTCACCTGTGGAGGCCAACCCCCGGGGTCAGAGGTCGCAGGGCAATAGGAGAGAGCCGAGGTCATCTTGCCAAACCACCTGCAGTTAGAGCCCCCTCTTGGCCAGCGGTGGCTGCTCCCCGACTGGCCCTGGCTGGCGACTCCCTTGGTATCATCAGTCCCTACAAGCCAGCTGTCCCATAAATTCTCTGGAGGCAGGAAAGGAGGGCATTCTGAGGAGCCACCCCACTGCCCAGTGCCATGCACAGGGGCCTGGCACCAGCAAGACCAGCTACCCTTCAGGTCGTGTGCTTGACCCCATCACAGAGGACAGGAAGTCACCTCTCCCTGGATCTCGGCCCTTCTGACAATGTTGAAGTTCCCTCTTTCGGCTCCTTATGTGGACTGGAGGAGGAAAGAGGGGGAGGAGGTGCTGGCTGGCAGTAGCAGATCACATTGTGCCTCTTCCCGGAAAGTTCTGGGGGGTCCCACTTGTTTGCAGCTCACTTTAGAATGTGGCCTGAGTCTCTTCGCTGCTGTCTCTGATATGTGACAAGGACACAGTTTAAATCCGGAATGTAGCTGGGTGGGGTGGAATTGGCTGACCTGGATCCTGAGTCCCATGAGAAAAGAGACCTTGTCTGTGTTGTCCCCTTCCGTGTCCCCATGACCTGCTCCAAAGCCGGGTGCATAGGAAGTGCTCGGTGACAATGTGTTGAGTGAGTGGGTGGACTCTGAGGAGCACTCTGTGAAACCTACCGATTTGCGTGGTTTCCCCCAGCCCCTCCTTCAGCTCAACGTTCTGCAAGTGTGAGTGTCAGCTAAGGGGTCCACCTCTCAGGAAACCCTTGTTTATCAGGCAGCCACTGTGTATACGGGACACAGAGCAAAGGCACCAGACACAGGGAGGGATGAGACAGCGCCCAGCCCTCAGGGAGCCGACAGTCCTCGCCACCATGACTAGTGATGCCTCTTCAAGTTGAACCTCCTCGAGACAGACAAGACCCCACATCGAACCCTTGGGGGAATTTTGTCAGATTCGAAGGGATGTTGCTAGTGAGAAAAGCACATTGGCCCTGGATGCCACTGAGATGGTGAACATGCCCCACAATCCTCAAGGCTGCTCCCTTTAATCTCCGTGCAATCCATTTATCTGTATAAAAGTAACAAGGTGCTTTCTTTTTTTATTTATTTTTTATTTTTATCTTTTTTTTAAGATTTTATTTATTTATTTGAGAGAGAGAGAATGAGAGAGAGCACAGGAGAGAGGGGAGGGTCAGAGGGAGAAGCAGACTCCCTGCCGAGCAGGAAGCCCGATGCGGGACTCGATCCCGGGACTCCAGGATCATGACCTGAGCCGAAGGCAGTTGCCTAACCAACTGAGCCACCCAGGCGCCCGGTGCTTTCTTTTTTTAACCAAAGAAAGCCTCATCCAGTAACACGGTGCAGTTCGCAGAGATGAAATGCAGTCAGTCGTGGAGTTCCTATTGTGGCTGGTACCTTCCAACTCACTACACCGGAATTTGGAAATAATGCATTTCTCACTAATGAAGAAGTTCAAGTATTAGAAAATCTTCCCGTGCCTTCCCATCAGCTTAGTCATCTGTCTGCCATATGTGTACTAACCTAAAAATGTAGCTCGCGTAACATCATCTCTGGGCTTCTCAGCCGATATGTGTTTTAATGTCTGTATCTTACACAAGATAAATTCCCTTTCTGTTTAATAAAATATCCCATTTTCTTTGCTACTAAGGAATTTGGGAAAACACTCATCATTTTAATAACCTTGTAAAATTCACTCTTTAAAAATTGGCATCCATTCACTCGCCTAAATGGTTTAGTCTTGTTTTGTTCTTTTTTCTCCCACCATGGCATTTGCTTGCAGATCTTTTTTTTTTTTTTCTTTCCAGATACATTTGTGTTTCTCTTTGTGGGTTATTTTTCTTATCATTTGGTTGCTCTGTGATAGAAAATTATTTATTTTTCTAGAGAAAATGAAGGAGTTTCTTGGAGACCAATTTACTACTATAGTAACCACATTTGGGTTTTTTCATGTATCCTCAGAAAGAGCTATAATTGCTGCACTGAAATTAGATGCGATCTGTTCATTTCACAGTTTTCTAAGTTCTTAACTCTCTCATACTTTATAGTGGCTGAGGAGCAAAATCTCTGCAGAATTCGTGCCCTTTGCAAATTACCGTATCTTTCTTCTTTAGAAGTACCCGCGGATAATTTCCCTTGGCTTTTCATAATTAGACAAATTAACTTGAAACAGTTTCCAAAATTTTATTTTTGAAAACTATGGAGTATAATTGCTCATAGACATCATGAATCATGCCCCATCCCTCAAGGCTAGCCAACCCACTTGAATTCGTTTGACTTCAACAAACAATTATTGAGCATTAACTAGGTAGCAGATGACGGGTAGGGTACTGGCCATGCATAAATACCAAAGACATGATTCTTGCACTTAGGGAGGAGACTTCCAGCTAATTGCACTGTATTTATGAGTGTTGCAAGGCTGCAGCGGAGGGTAGTGTTTGGGAGGAATGTTTGATGAGGATGGATGGGGATGTGCAGGAATGTAATGAAGTGGCAATGGGTAGCTGTGGACCCTGAGTGGAAGGGCAGGTTCATGGCTGGAGAGAGGGTTGTCAAATACATCTTTCCTTCGTCCCCGGAAACCCCAGCCCCTCCTGATGGACACTTACTTTCCAACCTGCTGATAGAGAAATATCCATTGCCCGTATGGCCGTCCTAAACCACGACGTCGAAATTTGGTCTTGCCCT